TGGATGCAGACTTTACAAGGTTCCAACTGGAATGAAGACTTCGTGTTGAAAACATGATTGTCGTCTCAGAGAACTGGGTTGATATAAGTGGGCAGTATATAAATTGGATAACTAAAATTGGGGGAGATAAAGGCATGAAGCAGTTGGCTTACAAACTTTCAAAGGTAGGGGAAAAAACTCACAGGATTATAGGGTTAAGGTATATGTGTTAATTGCAATTGTGAAGCTAAATTATATACAGGTGCCAGGTTGGCAAGGGGTGGATTGAGTTAGTTAATTGTGCCAGCCTGGCTGATAATCACATGTGGAGCTGGTTGAAAGGCGGAGGGATAAATGGGTGGTGAAGCCTCACCTTTCGAGTTCTCAGGTCTCTTGTTTTGTGATGGTTGTATCGGGTGCAGCTGCCTTAACAGTTCCCTGCTTCAGCTTGCAAGAGTGACTTCCTCCAAGACATCCCCAAGGAGAAGCCGCATGGATCTATCCCAATGCAGCCCTGGGTGCTGGAGCAGCTGTGTGGAGACCCTTGCCAGGGCTGAGATGCTTACACGTTCATGGACTCAGCTTTCCTCCTGCAGTCGGCATCATTGCCTCTGTTTTGTGAGGTGGAGAACTTTGTGGACTGGTGTTGGGTTAATGGGTTAATGTTGGACTTGTGGGTTTGGGCAGTATTGGGTTGGGGTGTTTTCGTGATGCACCTTTTCTTTACATAAAACTCTCTCTTATACATGAGTCGCTGTGGATTTGTTTCTCCAAAGTACCTAGACTAATACACCTAGTTTTCTGGCTCCAGTTAGACTTTGCTCCGGGATCTTGAAAGAGCAAACTCCACCTCCACAACCTAGCAGCCCATATACCACAATTGTGCTATTAATTGCGATTCTGCACCAATAGTTGCAGAAACCACTTGCCCAATGAATGTTGACCAGGGATCACCATATATTTACTTTTTACATGCTCTCTTTGCTTTTGTGTGATATGGGTTCATTTTTCGGCATGGTTCTGCCTTTTTGAATGATTGTTATTGAAATTGTGCCCTTTAGTCAATCCTTATTATTCACATAAATAGTGTCCAGTCATTTAACTTTTAATATGTACCAGTTGACAAATTTATGTATTCTAGTCTGAAAAGTTGGCCGATACATATATAATTTCTATTTTCTTTTTTGTTTTTCCAGGGGAGAATGCAAATACAGTCTCCCACTACCACAAATCATGCAGTCGAGTCTCCCACATTTGGGGAAATTGCAGGGGTCAGCATAGCTGGAGTGCAATGGGTGAGCCTCGCCCTGGGAAAACCACCTTCGTGATCATGGTAGCTCCCCTTACCTCAGGTAAGTATATAATTTCTTTTTTCAAAAATGTTTTTAGTTCTATACTATTCGCTAAATTAATGACACTATCGGTAGAATTACCTTAGGTCTTATTGGGGCTGTATAATTTTATAATGTTCTCTAATAAAATGATAATGATGTCTCCAAACCAGAGACATCTCTAAGTCATGTACACACACACACACACACACACACACACACACACACAAATGGATTTCACTTAATTCCATGCACAATCTAAGAACAATTAGTTTTTATGACACAGTCCTGCTCAATGCTCATCCTCATGAAAGAATCACTGAAGATGTGAGTGTTATAGCAAAGTGTAATGAAGAAAACAGATGGTACCCAACTATCAAAAAAAATAACATCTAATGCCTTATAAGAAACCGTCTAAATGAGGCATCAACTAAGTCCACATGGAAGAAGAACACCAGCCTTTTAATCCAGAGATTGTAAAAAATACATTCCACCTCCCAAAGAGGGAATGTTATCAGAGCTTAAATTATGAGCACTCGGTTTGCAGAAGGGACTGGGAGACGTTGGAAGCAAAAAGTCCGTTTGCAGTGTCCACATATGAATTAAGCCTCTGGTGGATCCTCTATGACTATAGTCAAGGATGTGAATAGCCTTGTTATCAGACAGGTAGCATTATAAATTTGATTATGGCAAATATAGCTAGGTTAAAATTTAACCCCTTATCATTTGATTTCCCTTTAGACCTGTTTTAGAGTTATTTCACTTTTAAAAAAGCAAAAGGTAAATAACTGTGGCTTAAGCCTACATTGAATTCTCTCTGACCATGGACCAGGGATTTAAATAGCCTTACTATCATGCAGAATGCATTAGAAAGTGGAGTATTTCAGCTGGAGTTAGGTTAAAATTTAACACCCTATCATTTGATCTCCCTTTTAACCTATTTAAAATTTGTTTTAATTTTAGTATTTTCTGCTTTCTTTTCAAATGAGGTTTTTCTATCTTTTATTATTATTTTTTGTTTGCTTTTATGTATATGAAATTCAGTATTGGTAAATCTATAGATATTGTAACTACATTAGTGGTTTCATGGGGGCATAGGAGGAAAGATTGTGGGGAAATGGAGCACTATTAAAGATGTATCCAAGAAGAAGGAAAATGTTCTAAAATTTATTTTGAGGATGATTGTACAACTCTGTTTAATATGATTGAATTATTGAATTGTATGACATATGAATTATATGTCAATAAAACTGGGATCATAAAGGCTTGTTTTAAAATAAGCACCCATCTAAATGATGTGTTAACTAAATCCACATGGGAAAAGTACATCAGCCTATGTGACCCAAAGATTATAAATATTAAAATCTACACCTGAAGGAAAGAGCAGCATATGAGGTTAAATTCTGAACACTGATCCAGCAGAAGGCCGCCGATGGCAGTGGAAGTCATGATGGCAGTCACCTGTACCCACAAGATGAGAGACTTTTTCTTACATCATGATTTCTGAGTGGCCGTTGCAGTGAGTTGCAGAGCCCTGGGACTTCAGGGCGTATATTAAAGGAATGGTGGTTGACCCCAGAAGTGGCTGAGCAGTATAGCAGGGTAAAAGGGGAAACACTGGGGATGTATTTGACCTTCACTTTTTGGGGATCAATCTTAGGTAAACTGTCATGAAGGAATTAATTTGTTATTACAAGTGGAGAGTATGCTGATACGTTTTGTGAAAAACAACCTGGGTTATGGAACATTTGATATACAGACTATGTACACTTTTGCCTAAAGCATCATTAAAAAAGGAAGAAATATCTAGAATAGTCAAGTGCATATGGAGAACAATAGATTCTAGGGACTGAAGAAAGTGAGGGAGGGGGAGTTATTGCTTAAGGAGTACAGTTTCATTTTGAAGTGTTGAAAATCTTTTGGAAATGGATAGATATGACAGAAAATTTACTAATCTCAGTAAATTGTTCACAAATGGTTTACATGACATATATACATAAAGAAATTTCTCAGTGCAGTAAGAAGTAACAAGTCAACTAACAATTTCTGTTTTCAGTTTAGATAAGGATGGAACAGTTTTTATTCGTAATTAGATACATAAACCTGTTCTGAGGAGAAGAATTAGATGCTATCTTAAAATCTTCCAGGGTCGGATTCAAAGTAGGATGTTTAAGAGTCCTCTACAACACCTACTGATTTGCCTAATTTCAACCAGCTAACAAGACTGATAGTGACACTTTATAAATAAATATGTAATTTATGAAATCAAATAGACATTTTTTCCTTATGATGTGTTAATTCTTAAACCACTATATAATCATCTTCATTCTCAAAGTATTATTATTACTGAGGAAAAGTTTCAAAAGTAAAATCTGTCTTTCATTAGTCACAATTCAAGAAATTTATAGAAGGATACCATAAACTACATTTTAGATATCAGTCTAACTCAGAGAGGGCTTAAATCGAAGATAATGTGTTACAAGGAAATATTCAAGTGATAGGCAAGTATAAAAGCATCACTATACATCAAAGTCAACTTACATAAAACCTCTCTATATATCATATTCTGATGCTTCTCTAATTAAAAATGGAAATGGATACTAAGACACACAGTACAAAAGACCTGAACATCAAAGGGCAATTAGACATAAATGGTGAAAGTTGAAGAATACTCTATTGTCACTAATAAGAAAAAAATAAGTCAGATTAATTGCAGTCTTTTTTATTAGAGGTTTTACTAAAAATAACTTGCCTTATGTGAGAAAGAAGTTTACTATTATTGTGTAATGCAAATCATTACTTTAATACACCTTAATTGGTATCCTATCATCATCTTGAACTTGTACAAATCATTTGATTGGCTTTAATGTGATGCAAAGAATAATTTGGTGATCATCATGAGTCCAGTTTCACTGCTGAATTATTTTATGAACTTGGATAAAATCTTTAATCTTTCTGAATAGTTACAATTTACTGAAAATATATTCTATGTTAAATGTTAAAGTTATTATAAATGAAATGACCTGAAGCCCAAGAACTATCCTATCCTTATTTAACAAATATTGGACTTTGCTAATATGTGAGGCAGGAGTCAGCAAACTAAGGCAAGACCTAATCCCCGATTTTGTGTAGCACAAGACCCAAATTATTTTCCAAAAGCTGAAACAAAATCAAAATAATATTCATGACATAAAAGTTCTATGAAATTCAATTTGCAATGTGTTTGTTAGGGGCTTTGGGGTTGGTTTTGATGGATACCAATGGTGTTTACAATAGAACAAAACACTGCCTGGTCCTGTACCATCCTCACAATTGTTCCTATGTTTGAGTGAATTGTTAGGGCCACTGTTTCAATCCATCTTGTGAAGGCCCTTCCTCATTTTTTTTAACATGCCTGGTGTACTTCTCCAGTGACTGATCTCTCTTGCTAACACCAAAACATATCAACCAAAATCTTATTTTGGTCTCTAAGGAGCATGCTAGCTACTTCTTCCACAACATTGTTCATTTGGTCAGGCCACGGTACTTTCAATATTCTTAGCCAGCACCAAAATTCAAATGCCTTGATTCTTCCTTGGTCTTCCTTTTTCCATGGCCAACTTTCACAAGCATGTGAAGTGATTGAAAATACTATGCCAGGAGCAGGTCCACCTTGGTCCTCAAAGTAGCATCCTTGCTTTCCAACATTTAAAAAAGATTTTGTATGCTAGATTTATCTTATGCAATAATTTCTTTGATCTCTCACCTGCTGATTTCCTTAGCATTGATTGCAGATCCAAGGAAGCTGAAAACTTCAATATTTTCTCTGCTTATCAGGATGTTACCTATTGCTCCAGTTTTGAGGATTTTGGTATTCTTTACATTGCGTTGTAATCCATATTGAAGACCCTAATTCTTGATCTTCATCATTGTGGTAGTTATATATAATGTGTTGTCAACTTGAGACATAAGAATGAAAGGGTGGAGTTTAGCCTGTCAATCAGGTTGCAGCTTGATGACCTCATTTGGAGGTGCTAAGGAGATTAATAGCTCATTGGAGGTGGGACACATATACACTCCCTGCAAGACATTCTGGTTGACATGACACTTGGAGCTACCCTGAGGGAGCCAGAGCCCTGGAACTGAAGGAGCCACATGGAGACCCCACCAGCACTGAGATGCTTCTACCGCCACTGGATCCACAAGATGTTCTACCCACTGGCCAGTGATCTTCCTGCATTTGGCATTATTGCATGGCTGCATGAGTCTAAAGAGGAATTTATGGACTAGTATTGGAAATATGACCTAATATCAGACTTATGGGCAGGGCTTGGATGTCTTTCTTAATGTACAATTACTCTTTATATGAAGCTTTTTCCTATACACATATGCATGTTTATGAATTTTTTTCTCTAGTCTACCCAGACTAATACAATCAGCAAGTGCTTCAAGTTCTCATCATTTTCATCAGGCAAAGTTGCATCATCTGCATCTTGCAGATTGATAATAAACCTTCCTCCAATTGTGATGCCTCATTCTTCCTCAAATAATGCAACTTCTCTGATTATTTTGTCTGTCTATCAAATAGGAGCCCTAGTGGTGTATTGTTTATGCATTGATCTGATAACTGCACGGTCAGTAGTGGAAACTACCAGCCTCTTCTCAGGAGAGAGACCAGGCTTTTCTACTCCTTTAAAGAGTTACTGTCTCAGAATCCACAGGGCAGTTCAGGTCACTATGAGTGAGTATTAATTCAATGACAGTGAGATTGTGTGATACCATTTGAATACATATGGTGAGAGGATACAACCCTGATGCATACCTTTCCTGATTTTAAACCACACAATGTTCCTTCTGTTCAATCTATTTCTTATTGTTATATTGTGTTGTCTGGGTACTTTAGAGAAACAAATCCACAGAAACTCATATGTACCTTTCCTGATTTTAAACCACACAATGTTCCTTCTGTTCAATCTATTTCTTATTGTTATATTGTGTTGTCTGGGTACTTTAGAGAAACAAATCCACAGAAACTCATATGTATAAGAGA